TTTTAAGCCACCGGGTCTGGGACACGAACCGCGGTCGACTACGTGGGAGTCCAGCGACATAGCCATTACGCTAACTGCTGGTTCCCAGCAAAGCATTTTTTTAAAAAGAGATTTTTGCTATAGGATGCGTGCACTCACCAGAGAGACAAAGACAGACAGAGACAGAAGGCAAGCAGTCACCCCCCGGGGGTGTGGCCACACCACAGTCTCTTCTCCTCCATTCTCCTCTCATGATTTTGGGCACACACGAACACGTGGCTGGTGTGAATTTCAAGCCTCCAGGTCCAGAACATGAACCGCAGTTAGCCATGTGGGAATCCAGCGACATAACCAGTATGCCATCCGCTGGTCCCATCAAAGCATTTAAAATGGGATTTTTTGTTTGTTTGTTTTACCTTATATAAATTTGTACTGCAACATATCTGTTACTGAAGGATTCACATTTTTAAAATGTATAACTTATACGCGTACAGTTTAACAGATTTTCACAAACTTAGTGCCCATATAACTGCAAGCCCATGTAAGAAAGAGGTCGTCAGAGCCCCGGGAGTGCGCATGAGCTTTGCCTCTGTCATGGCCTTCAACCCCTGAAAGGAACCATTGTCCTGACTTCTAACATACCAGTTTGGGCTATAAATGAGTTTTATATAAATGGATCCGATAATATGTACTCTTTTTCTTTGTAGCGTCTTTAACACAATACGTTAATTGGAGTGTCCTTAGTATGTTTAGTCTCAGTGCTGTCTAATGTCCATCATATTAATGTACTATGACTTCCATTTTTACCGTTAGTGGCTATTGGGGTTTTTCCGAGGCTTTGGCTGTTATAAATTACGCTGCTTTGAGTGTTTGCACACATGTTCTCAGTGATCACATTTACGCATTTCTGTTGAGTATACGCTAGGTAAAAAACCAGGAGTATGTTCAGCTTTAGCAGATACTGCCAAACAATTTTTTGTGCCGATTTACACTCCCACCAGTAGAATATGAAGTTTGTTCATAGCTTGGCTACCTGATATTGTCTGTCTTTTTCATTTTAGCAGTTCTTGTGTTGAATAATATTATGGCCTCAATTTGCATTTAGTGATGACCAATGAAGTTGGTTACCTATTCTTTAAACTTCTATTTCTGTAAAGAAAAGAATATATCCCAAAGGATTGAATTGCCTCCAGTAAATTTTATGTTTCCTTTTCAATTTATCCCATCATCTGTAGCAGGCCGTTCAAAGGATTGGTTCAGCCATAGAATTACAAGATTTAAATTCAACAAATAATTCAAATCACTGCTGATGCAGTGTAAGTTACAAGTCTAAATCTAAATGAAGCCAGTTAAAAAGAGCCCGTTTAATTCGCAGCTGTGTTCAATTTAATACGTGGATACTATTTAGGTCCTCATTTATTTTCCTGTTTATGGATGAGTATGCTTCCTCTTGCATGGCATATAAGTTGATTAAACTTTGAAAATACAAATTGGGTCACATACCCAGATTATTTTCCGTTTTGGAAATTCATTTCTCAATTGGTGGGGACCACTTTAAGTTCCCCATGAATTTTAAAAGAAATAATTTTTCCTTTTAGAAATAGATGTTTGATAGAACAGCAAATTTTAAAAAGTGTTAATACAAAAAATTTTGAGTACTAACTCTTGGAGTCAATTTAAAAAAATAAAAGGAAAACATTGGTGATACCATTTCCAAAAAGAGAAGTCTTATCTTAATCTTAGATTAAAAATACTTATGATCTATTAATGTTATTCTTGTTACCTGTTGCCTCGTTCATTTGCATACATGCTATGTTTAGTAACATTTTTTTCTTTCCCTTTGGTAATTAATTATCCTTTATAAAATAATAGCTAATGGTTTTGAATTGTATTTTCATTGGTTTATGCCAGTACTCTAAAATATCTTTGATAAAGAGAAGAAAAGGAGAGTGTTGTCACATGCTTACTATAAAACAGTTGCTAAAAATAATGAACTATTTTTTACCTTATCTTTTTGGCAGCAATATTTACATGTTCTTCTAGAGGACTATCTTCTCGTTCATGTGTTTAATGTTACTATTTTAAAATTCGCTCAGTGGTGTATAAATATTTTATAATCTGTTCATTTCTACTTGTATATTTGAAGTTTTTATTTAGTACTTAGTGCCCAATATTTAAAAAGCACCGTCTACTATCCTTATCAATTAGTAAATACTCTAGCAAGATGTTGACACAGATTAGATCCTTGTTCTCAACCATGGATGATTTTGTCTTTTAAAGGATGTTTGTCGATGTCTGATGTATTTTTGTACTCACCACTGGGAGGGGGGATGCCACTGGCACCTGGTAGAGAGAGGCCTGAGATGTGGCTGAACAGCCTGCAGGGTACAGGATAGCCGTACTGCAGAGGATTGTCTGACCAGCCTGCAGGGTACAGGACAGCCCCACTGCAGAGGGTTTTCTGACCAGCCTGCAGGGTACAGGACAACCCCACTGCAGAGGGTTGTCTGAACCGAAATGCTTCCACACCTGTGCCTAAATGGGAGCACGTGAAGACACAGATAAATATATCATCCTTTCCAAACTAGAACCACTCACTGAGTTTAGCGAGTAGCAATAATTTTATAACGTGGATTTGAGGGGTGGGGGCAGGGGGAACTAGAATACAAAATTTGCCTGGAATTTTTAGGTAGAACTTGAGCTTTTGTAGTAATTTTACACATGCTGAAGATTGTTTGAAGCCATACCTTCAGGCCCCCTCCTAGCTTAGCGCATGAGAAGAGGCTACTCTGAAATGGCTTTGGGTTCAGACGTGAAGGGTGAGAAAGAACCAGGCTATGAAGACTAGGAAGAACAGCTTTCAGACAGAGGGAGCAAGAGCCAGCTGGACCTTTATGGGGAGCTAAAAGAAGAGAAATGCGGGCAGGCCAGAGATGAAGGAGAGGAGCATGTGTTCTGGTGAAGAGGACAGAGGACCGTCAGAGAGGACTCTGCTACCCTCAGCAGAGAGTTTGGAAGCAGAGTGAGAAGTCAGCGAAGTGAGTTAAACAGGAAAGTGGCATATCCTAATTTACTTTTTTTTTTTTTTTTAAATCATGTTCATTGCCATATAGCTTGTGGATAGGAGAAAAAAGAGTTGAAAATGGGAGTCAATTTTAGGAAATGATTGTAGTGGTTCAAGTAAGAAACGGTGGTGGTGGTAGAAATGAAAAACGAATGAATTCAGGTTGAACACAAAAATCACAAAAATATAAGTCAGAACTCGTACTTTTTTTCTCTCTCTAGTAGTGCTTGGTGCTAAGCCAGCATAATACTGATTATATTCAACCTATAAAATATATTCTGAATTCCGCAGTGGCATCCATTCTTCTAAGTTGAAGGAGTCTCTTAGCTCTATACATAGCAGTTCCTGTTTTTTCTTACATCTTCCACAACGTTGAAAAACTAATTCTGCTTTCTTTTGAAGAGCAAAGAAACTCTGTTCATCCCCTCTGAAAATGAGAAGATTTCTAAACAACTCCACCTTTGTTATAATATTGTAAAAGACTGTTATGTTCGAGTTTCAAATAACAGTCAAACCATTTCTGGATGGGAAAATGGTGTGTGGAAAATGGAATCCATATTCAGGAAAAACGAAACAGACTGGAACATGGTAACTTAATGCATGAAACTGTAAAACGCTTGTCATTCTTTAAACTAATGTAGATTGGTTTTATTTTTCAGTTATGCATAATGTGAAAACTAGTATGTCAAAAGTATTTTTAGTTATCTTTTCATCTGGAAAAGAACATCTTATTCCCAGTGTGTAATCAAAAGTCCATTAGAAATTCTTAACATTTCCATCAAGGAAGTATGTGTTTTCATCAAAGAGGCTAATTATTTCTTTTGTTTGTTTGTTTGTTTATTTTTAAAATTTGGCAGAAAGCAAGTACACTCACCAGAGAGAGACAGAGGGAAAGGGTTCAGAATGGAGCATAGTCACGCCACAACCTTTTCCTCCGTCTCTCAGTTCTGTTGGGAATTTCAGCTCACACACACATGCCCAATGTGTTTTTCAAGCCACTGGGGCCAAATTCAAACCACGCAATTAGCTATGAAGGCTCCAGTTGCTTCAGCCACAGGCCACGGAGCCAGCCCAAGGCTGAATTATCTCATGGGGCAAAATGGTTACGTGTATAGCCAATCCACGTGTTTGTTTTTTACATAAATATATAAAGTATATTACCATTTTCTTCTTTCACAGTTTTTTAACATAAGAGACTTTTTGATTTTTTTGGAGAAGCTTTTGCTATAGGGTGTGGGAGCTTGCCAGAGAGACAGAAAGCAAGAAATCACCTCCCAGGTGGGATGACCACGCCGCAATCCCTTCTCCTCCATTCTCTTCTCAGGATCTTGGACACGCATGCACATGCACGCGGCATGAGTTTAAGCTACCAGGTCCAGGACTCAAACCTTGGTCAACTACATGCGAGTCCAGCGACATAGCCATTACACCAACTGCTGGTCCCCATAAGAGACTTTTTTATTTACTGAAAGTATGTTTGAATATTTATTTAAGCACTTAAGAATTCAGTTGTGAAGTTCATCTTATCAGTTCTCTTAAGTATGTTCAATGGCTGTTGTAAACCTATTACAGTTAAAATTAGTTCTTTTTTTTAATTGCTAATGGGTCTATACCTGTTCCAGAGATGGAGGGAGAGGGAAAAAGTACCTTCCCATGGGGGCGTGGGCACATCACAGTCCCTTCTTCTCCATTTCTCTATCCTATCAGGATTTTAGGCATCCGTGTACACATGCTTGGAGTGTTTTTCAAGCTGCTTGGACCAGGATTTAAATCGTGATAGGCCATGTACGATCCAGCCTCCTTAACCACTAGGTTAAAGGTCTCGCCCTAGTTAAAACCAGTTCAGACCCAGACCCACAGAGTATGATTAACAGTTCCTGAAGTAATCTAGAAGTTTGAAGTTAACTTCACTTTATCTGTCATGTTTTATACCCCCTCTTTTGGGGGCCATTTGAAACTATTGAAGCTTTCTGTCTCTCCAGTAAGTACATGCATCCTATAGCAAAAATAAAAACATAAAATAAATTTTAAAAACATTAATTTAAGGCCAGCCCATGGTGATTAAGACAGCTGGATTCTATATGGCCAACCACATGGTTCAAGTCCTAGACTTAGCATCTTGGGAAAACATGCCAGGCATCTGTGCGTGCATGCCTTAAATCCCAAAAAAGTAGGAGAGATAGAGAAGAGATTGCACTGCAACCATTCCCCATGAGATAATTTCTCACTCTCCCTCTCTCTCATGTACCCTCTCTATGATTAAAAAAAGAAAAAAATAACCTGATGAGATTAGAATTGAGCAATATTAAGCAGTTACAATAAGATGAATATGAAGTCACAGCTATAGTGGTAAGTACTGTATAAACAAAGAAAAGCATTTTTTTGCAAGCTGTATTTCAAAGAAATACATAACTGTTTGTAGGAGTTTAGACTTGAGGACAGATGATTAAAGAAATTCTCAGGGCTTTGAATCTGACAGGGCGAATGGAGTTCAAAGGTCAGGATACAAGTTTTTCTGTCAGCATTTCAAAGAGTGCAGATGACACTGAGGAGATGAGCTCTAAGAAGCTCTTAGACTCAGATGTCCTAAACAGTGTACGTTTAAATTAGCAGAGGGCGTTCAAGGAGCAGGGAGCATACTGTTCTGAGAGATGGGCATGGTTATGACTTTTAACCGCTCATTAGCAATGGCTGAGGTATTTCGTGAGTTAGAGGTTCTGGCCTATCTCATTCTAGGAAAGCATATATGAAAATTCTGACTCGGATGATAAACTAAGGAGCAGTTGCATTTTTAAAAACTCTCACTTTGGGGACCAGTAATGGGCGTGGTAGTTAAAGGAACTAGACTCTCATAGAGTAGTTTGAGGCCCAGACCTGGTGGCTTGAAAATCATACCAGATGCATGTGCCTGCATGTCCAAAATTTCGAGAGGAGAAAGGAGGAGAAAGTATTGCTGCTTGACCATTTCCCCTGGGGGCTGATTTCTCAATTTCCCTCTGTCTTTCTCCACCCTATGGCAAAAACCTAACAACAAAAACAAAAGTCTCCTTTTCA